GGAATGGACAAGAGAAACACAGCCACTTCTAGAAATGGGAAGGGGCGCTAAGAAAATGTATTGGAGACTAACCACAGTAGCCTTTTCCACCAATTTTTACAGCTTACTGCGTGCGGAGCCTAGTGTCGACCGTTTGGCTCCAGCTCGAGCCAAAAAAGCTTTGTATTCTTCCGCGGGTGATTATTCGATATCAGGCTCGTCTAGGAAGATTACAATACCTGACTTGAACACCGGCTGACCCCTTAAGTAACTGCATGAAACTGTGACATTCAAAGACCACAACGCTTCTGAACGGAAAAAGGATGTTTCGCGCACACGAAGGGTTTATCCCAGCCAAGAAGTCTTCATTCTCAGCTTCTGGAGTTTCCGGCCGCAGAGCCAGCCATCACAGGACTAGAATGGTTCTTCTACGCACGGGACTACATAGTCAACAATCCTTCGGTACGTCGCACTTGTTTTCTCGAAGGGGGGGGGGGCGGTGCTTAGGTCTGTCCTCACTTTATTCCGCTCCTTGATCCTCTGCTCTTTCTCGTCCTACGGAGTCCGAGCACTCATTCCCACTGCAGCAGGGTGTTCCACCGAACACTAACAGTAACTTGAGATTACATTCGGCGGTCTTGGATTGTTCCAGCGAAGCTGACCAGGCGTATGAACATGCATTTGGAGGGTACAATAAAGTGCAAGGACAAGTCAGTGTTAGATTTTTCCACTTGTCTGCTGCCAACTCCACTGATTACCCAGTGATGAGCTGTGCTGCTGGTCCTGATGGAACTCGGTCCATACACCACTAGAACGGCCTCGAACGACATTTTCAGCCTCGGTGTCACTTCCGCCCAGTGAACCGATTAATCTTACGAACCGGATTTTTTTTCGAAACTTTGAAGAAGTTTTATTTACAAAATAGGCACAAATATACGATCACCGATGGGTAATTGAAGTGTTTCTTCTCAAGTTGATTGGTACGTGCAATCCTCTTGATCCTGGAGACCACTTCAGAAGAATATCCAAAAAAATCAGCGGAGTTTGGCTTGGTGCAGGCGCATCGTATATGGGAAATGAGACGTTTTTTCGGGAGCAGATTTCACGATAATCGTGTAGGTGCAGACTCGTAACCACTGTGCTCCTATTTGTCGTGCGTCTTTCCCATACAGTAAGGGGGAGGAACGCGCTGATGGAAAACCGCATCTAGTCGTGTTATTCTGGTGTTAACCTCTAAGCCCATGGACATTTCTCAGAATTGAAGGTCAATGTCAGCAATTGTGTTCTACACAAGATATTGCGGGCGGAGGCACAGAAAAAGCTCACTCTGTCGGGCTGCGTTCACACTCTGTAGCAGCGTTCACCAGCGTTTAGAGCGTCCGTCAGCGACTAGAAAAGGATAGATATCGATCAAGCGAACGAGGCTTCTACCAGCGTCTAAGCACCCACCACGACCATGGATACGGTATACAATCTCACGACGCATTCCTGGTAGGTGGTGGACGCTGGTAAACGCTGGTAGTCGCTGCCGTTCGCTATATCGATACCTAGGCACTTTGTGATGCTGAAACGTCACAGTTAAATTTATGTCAGTCTTCGGAATAGAAAGCTTTTCATTCATACCTTTGGCTCTTCTGTTTTAAGCAGTTTGGTTTGGAAAGTTATGAAACTTTTGGCAAACGACTTCTTCAGCTCCGACAGTTTGTCCTTAAATGAAATTTTACAGTTTCGAAAAAGTTCACCAATTCAGAGGGTAAGAACTTGTGGAAACTGCGAGTCTTCCTCGCTCGGCTCTTGGAATATTTCAGTTTTGAAAGAAAATTCTCTGAATCGTCATTATCTCCCTAGATCCCAACTCTTGCCGTGGAAAAGGAGATGGGTCCGTAGCTGCGGTAGCGTGTTTTTTTTTCTCCGGTCAATTACACGGGAACGAGGCTGAATGGTAGTGATCCCTGGCCGTCTCTTCACACTCCGCCGCGAGGCGCCTAGGCATAGCCAAACGCGCTACTTGTCTGCTGTCTCTCACCTGTGACTGCTCTATACGGCTTAGTACGTGTTTCCCTGCAGGGCCTCGTTTTCGATGCCAGCGCTGCAACTTGAGGGTAGCGTGGGCCGTGTATGGAAATAGCATGCGGGCCTACAAGATGCCTACAACCCCGTTCCCGTGCATTTCTGACCAGGGAATGTGTCACGCTACTGCAGCTGCGGATCCTTCACCTCCGATCTCAAACGATCCGGTGTCTGTGGCGTTGCTTATTATTTGGGCGGTCTACGCCATCTGGAAGAACAAATGTTACCTTCAAATCCTCTGTTGGACCAGGGTACAACATCGTTAGAAGGAACCCGTCGTGTGGGGGGAGGGGAGCAGGGACCAGTTAGTATTACAGGAAAAAGAACCGGCTTGCACCAAACCCAGCCCTCTGACACGCCCCAACGTCTGGAGTGAAAACGACTGGATGTAGCCAAGCCTACAGCATTTCAGAAATTTGGACTTTGTCTGGTGTAATCAAAAG